AATACTCAGTTGTACCTGAGTTCTGTTGTGTGGGTTGATTTCCTCCTCCACTCCTTATGACCCCCCATGTTCGTATCATAAACTAAATGTGGAATGGGGTCTTATCCAGTAAGGGGGGCATGTGGTGTGACAGTTCTTGCCGGCTACAGAAATTCCAATTTTTGCAAGGGGAGGGAATCCCCGGGGCGTGAACCATTTCGCTTAAACTTTTACACCCACCCCGGAGCTTCCCTCCCCTGAAAAAGTGGATTACTTCATGCAATATGAACTGTCGCAGCACATGCCCCCCCTTACTGATGAGACCAGTGGAATGAAGAGCGAGTGCTCAGGTGTCGTATTCTATCCTTCCCCAAAGCTAGGGAATAAAAAGCCCTTCACATCCGTTTGTTTTCAAAAAACTAGCTTCTTTACTTTTCGCACATGATTGCCTTTTACACATATATAAATTGCAAATATGCACTTTCTCGGGGATTTGTCTAGGAAGGACAAAGAAAATTTGAAGGGATTTTTCCCCTAGCCTGGGAGAAACTCGGCAAGGGTGCCCATCGGCACAATCGCCGAGTCTGACGGACATCTTACAGAGCCGTTGGGTGTTACCACAATCATGCCATTGCGAAACATTGATAGTTCAAGTCCTACGAGCTACCCGTTTTCCCTAGCAATTTGTTTATTCCATGGGCTTCCTCACTTCATTTAGCGGACGGACGGATCCACAACACACCAAGTTAGCAATTTAAATAATAAGAATAATATTTATTGCCACTAGCATTTCAGAATAATGAGAAATATTATGCATTCGGTGATCGCGCTTACCACAAGGATACTGAAACGAATCTTCTCGTAAGTTCGATATTTCAATATGATCTATGAATTCTATCACTTTCTCTGGTAGATTATCGGAACATATGATCGGTACTTTTTTGGGATGTTGTAGGTGAAAAGATCAAGTTTGGTTCCTTTCTGGAAGTTGTGTGCCGTTTTTTTCACTCTCTACTCTCGCATAAACCGTTAAGTGGTAAAATTCTCCCTCAACGCAATGAAAAATCTTACCATCAGACGGCCTTGGACTGCGATAGTTCCTAGAAATGTGATACAATGTGGCGGTTCGCATTGTGCTGCCTGGGGTAATGGTCAGGGGTTAATGGGATAGATCTGAAAGGAATGCTATTCCTTGAAGCTTTTTTTTGTTCTGCTTCTGGTAATTTTTAGAGGTGCAATTTCAGGTGTACGGCAAGCAAAACGACTACTATACCATAGATGCTCTTCTGTTTCTTTGGGAGCACCGCGCAAAAACTCATCCGTCCTACGTTCGTGATGCTACTGCTGCTAACGTAAAAGTCGTTTCTCGTCCAGATAGGTGAGGAATTTTTAACCCGCTCGCACTCATTTACTCCTATTCCTATGAGTTTCTATTTTTTAGAAGAGAAATCCTTGACTATCTGAGTGGTAATCGGCTTGAAATCCCTGCAAATCACAACCCTTCACATGCTCCTGCTCCTGGTATCGCGATCAGTCGACTTGTTCCGGAAACGATTGAGGAACCAGAGGCGAAAAAACTGAAGTTAGAACATAATGCTCGGTATGTTTCATTTAGTTCTCCTTGCACGATAGTGTTTCTCTTGAATCTCCTATTCGAAATGTCTCATCCAAATTCATACGAACATCGCTTCGTGAATGTAAAGTCACATTTAGAGGTAAAGCCTTCCTCTCTCTGGGTCATCCCTACAAACGATCTTGATCTGTGTAGGATCTCTCCCTACAAACGTTTTTGATCAAGCATTAATATTTTGAAGAGGTGGACTTTAGGGAATGTTTTCCGTATCCTAAAGCATAGGACGTCTCTTGACTCACATGGGGGAAGCTTAACCGAAAGCAGACGAGTCTCCGTGGATTAGGTTGAGAGTAATTGCTTTTATTCATTGATAAAGCTGGTAGGTCAAAATGGTAAATGATATGCAGTTAGGTTTCGCGCTTTTTTCCGTTCTGTGAGCATATGGATCCGCATTATGGTGCTCTTATTTCTTCGAATTATGCAGAATATGAATACAATAATTGCTTTCTTAATTCGAAACAATATTAGTTCATGCACCAAAGTAACCTTGTGTTTAGTCTATAGTACTAGCTTTACCTTGAGACTGTTTAAGAAATTTAATTTGCAGCGAATACTTATTCTTGTAAAGGAGCATCTTCCAGGCCAAGAGTAGACCAGTTGCTCAACAAAGAGCGAGTGGACCCGTCCGAGGTTCGAGCCTTGAATGAGTCGCTCACAGCTGACAAGATCGCTGCTCTTAAACAAAAACGACTAACGCATCAGAAGACCAAGATTGCTGCTGTTGATCCGTGAGTTTACTTTGTCGTCGTTTTTTGGCTCGTAGCTGCTGAATACTCCTTGATGCACCGTTCCTTTTAGAGAAATGATGGCTGGCGGGGCACCAACGGAGCCGCTCGTGACACGGTATGCAATGGATGTTCGAAAGGTAGAACGTGTGTACAAGACGAGGAAAAGTGTGATGAATGCTACTAAGAAGACTTATACCTTTTTGTTTGATGTGCTGAAGCTAATCAAGGTAAGTGACAGAAAAAACGTTGTGCGAAGGCGTTCTCAATGGTAATAACTTCGTATAGCATACATTATAATACTTATTCTTATTCACTTACGTGGGCAAGCCGCAGGCTGATGAAAGAGCGAGGAATCGATTCGACGAAATCGCAACCAGCCAAGTTTGTTGGAATGTATAACAGATATGATCAAGAACGATTCGGAAAGGTATTTGAGCAGTATCCTATTCTTTTTGATTTTTTCCTGCATTCGATTATGTTCAGCTGAATGAGTTCCAAACGAATGGGTACGTCATCGTTCGTTGGAACGAATCTCAGCTCCATTAGTACATTGGAGAATCGACCTTTGGACGGTAAGCCTGTTGAGTTTCTGTGCTGCATTTCAATAGTTGCAGTGCTTTGAAGTATATTGCACGCCTGCGTCATCACGTATCAAAATTGCTTGACATCAAAAATTGTGGCTTAAGTCTCATCATTAACCAGCGTTTTGTTTTTATGAGTATTAGCATACTTGAAACGCGGTACATTATCGCAACCCTTCCTTCTTGTGAAATATCTTGAAGGTTATAGAATCAGGGTTTTCATTGTTTCAAAATGCTCCTTACAGCAGTAGAGAATCAGAAGCCGGAAGAGGCAGCAAGAAGACCCGCCTTGGCAGCAGCGATACCTCAAACCATAAGCACGCCTGATGAACCGAAGAAGCGAGTCAGTCGTACTCCAATCATTATCATACCGTCCGCAATGACTTCATTATTGACTATTTTCAACGCTCAGGACATAATTCAGGCAGGTTCAGAAATATCAAACTGCTTTAGCTTTTATGTTAGTGGTCATACTTTTAGGACATGAACTTTGTGACAACAGAGGAGAAAAGAAAGGAGAAAAATATGCAGCGAAAGTCTCAAATATATATTCAGCGGAAGAAAAATGACACCTCAGATGAGTTTCCTAATTTTTCTAGAAGTTGCTGAATTCTCGTCATCCAATTTGGAGCTGAACTTATCGCAATCCTAATTTGCCATCTCAATCTATGCTAAACAAGGCTAAGGTGGAGAAGTTTTGGGAAGTAGTGGGGAAGTGTTGAGCTTAATTTCGGCTATCTTGCCATAGGGTGGGGGTCGCTTACTATAAGCGTTCGATCGCGTAATGTTGCCAGATAGTTCAGTCGAAAAACTTTTCACGTTTCTTTTGGAGTCTGGTTCTCAACGTTTCTTTGTTTACTACCCTATCTTATCGTCACAAACAAGTTTACGGAATGGAATGGCATCGAGTGTTGCCAGTTTCATAACGTACGGCCCCCCTTTTTGCTCGATCGAAGCCGTTTTACGTCAAAGTGTTCGAATACGATCCCGGACGGGCCTGCCGGCACCCGCCCCCAGATACGACCGAAACATTTTCCCACAAGTTTTCTCACTCTTTGTCTTTTTTTTTTTTTTTTTTTTTTTTTTTTAACCCCCCCCCCCCCCCCCTTTCCCCCCTCTCCCCCCCCCCCCCCCCCTCTCCCTTTTTTTTTTTTTTTTTTTTTTTTCGCGGGTTTTCTGGGCGGGGGGGCGGGCCCGGCGGGCCGGCCGGACGCGGGCGGAATTTAGGTGTTAATTCTGCTTTAGGGACAATTGTGGCAGTTCAAGCCATTCAAGAGGTGGCACAGCAATCCAGTGGAGATTTTCGCTAAAATTCCCGCCTTTCATGTTCACTATGATGATCTCAATGTGGGTTGTTTTCTTTTCCTTTTGTGGTTATCAAAAACCATCAGGTGAAAGAAGCGATAGGGAAGAAATACTCTGATGTTAAGAAAAAGTGTGTCAATGTATGGTTTAGTGACAATTCAATTTTCACGGCTCGGGTTCCAGTAATTTATCCCTTTCACCCTTCTTGCCTCAGAATACAGCTTCATAGTTCTGTTTTTTTTTGCTTCGATTGTAGGAGGGAGATTCGATTTTCTCTAGAATACTATGATGTGGTTGCTCACCGTCTTTGTTTTAGATTGACCCAAATGTTGCGAAGTGGAGCGTTACAAGGCTGCCAGTTTCTCGGACAACGCGACATATGGACAGGGCCAGATTCAGAGTGTTTTGGGAAGTGTTAGATCGCTGGATCCCAGCTAATCGGCCGCACTTGAGTGTAACCATAGCATAAATTGTGGTGTTATTGTGTATTTTTAGTTATGAAGGGGCATATATAGAAACGTATAAACGCTTGCTGGTGAAAAATGTGATTCAATGGTTCTCATTATGGTAAGTAAGTGTAAAAAGGAGTCAATCGCGCGATATCTGGCGCGATGCCATCTCGTTGGGGCGGGGGGGAGGCCGTCTAATTCCAAGTATACGGACCATTAAAGTCACACCCATCTCGGCCGAGTTCGGCATCTACCTGAGGTTCACTGACAGACAAGAATAGTCAATAGATCGAGTTCCACATGGAATCCTTTTTTTTTCAAACGGAAGCAATGCAAGTGATTACTGTGTCGCGACACTAGGTTGCGCTGTATGCGCCCCGATTAATTGAAGCCAAAAATATACGGCGTACGCTAAATTTCGAAGCACTGATGGTGAGTCCAGCCGTTTTATCGGTTACATCTACTCAACTACTTGGATTCGGTATTTTAACCCCCTCCCCACAAATTGATGCTCCCGCCTACGCTCAACGGCGGCTTATGGCAACTGCAATCTCACACATTCAAACTTGCCGACACTGTTATTGGCTCACCCACCCGGAGTCCCTCCCCCCTCAAGGCTTAGTCCTAGGCTCTCACCTCCCTCCTTGGGATTTGGAGCCGAGCCAGGCGCCATTCTCTAATCGTCTGTGCTCTGGCTATTCGGGGCAGGACCATTGAGGAAAATTCAAGTAAGCCGTAAACCTCCCCCCAGCCGCTGCACAAACCGCAATCTCCGGCTTACTCTAATCGCGGCACGACGTCACTATATAGACAAGAAAGGCAGAAGAGAGCTGAGTAAGCGGTTTGAGTGGTTCAGACTAAATGTCACGAATTTTGGCGCACGCGAACTCCGGGCGGTTCCCCTTTGGCCGTGTGTCCATTAGTTTGATGCATGCGACACTCCATTCACACTTTTCCGCCCCCATCCAAGCACGTGCACCTAGCCGCTCCTCTGCCTCCAATAAGTTCATGTGTTTACGCTCGTCTTGAATCAACTACCAAACACGCGGCACAAGGGTACCCGACAGTAGGCCCGTCGCGCGGCAAAATAGCTGGGTCAGCGGACGAGTTGCAGCAATTTCACGTCAACTCGAATAGAATGTAGCAATGCATGTCCTGCATTGCACAGCACGCGCTGCGACTTGCTACCCTGCTGTCTCTACCTGTTCGCCGCGCGACGGGCCTTCGGGTATCCCGCGGTACAACTAGACGCGCGCGACGTCGCGTGTTGACTTTTTGCTGCTTGCCCGTCCTGGCAACTACTGTTTTGTGACGCTAACATACTGCACGCCGTTTTGCAGGCGCTGATAGACATGGTGTTTAAATTTCCTGATCCGGTGGATTAGTACGTTCATTTGCTAGAGCGCTGATGAACATACAGGGGTAGGGGG